ACCAGTAAATGCCAATGCCAGCCTGTAGCAGAGCTAAGCATTTGTGAGTGGGCTGTGGGTGATAACTCCACAACTGGCACAGCTGGTACTAAAAGACACCACGTGATGCTGGACAGCATAAAATACAAGAAGTGTCCAGTAGGTAGATGTGTCTTAACCTGCCGCAGTAGGTTTGACTCATATCTCAAAAATTTTTAGAGATTGATGTACACCCTAAAGCATCAAGATTAATATTCCTTCCAAACTAATTAAGACTTTGTATATTTTTATAATTGCCTACATCTTCGATTGCAGTGAAAGTCCATGTTCATCAAAAACTCATCCGTAATTTCATTATCCACAGTATGCCTTGTAATTAAGTTTTTGGTAGAATACAGACAAAGCTCACAATCTGTCATCTTCGTACTGTTCTTTTAAATCATGTCGCCTTTCATTTCTGTCCTTTCTGATGTAAAAATGTAATTCTTTCAGTCTGCCTGGATATATTTCAATCTGATCTGTATGAAAATGTAAACATACAAATCCTAATTAAGTACATGAGTAGAGATGAAATTGTTCCTTGCCTTTTTTCCTAGTTTCATGCTGTGTAAAGACTCAATTGGAAAACAGTTAATTAAAAAAGTCGAGTGTAACTTTTCATTTAACGTGGCTATACTGGGGTATTACTTGTGCAAAATATGATGATAGAGGTAGTTAATAGGTATCTAAACAATGTTAATGGCTAACTTATTTTGAAAATATGGTCATTAGCAAAGTTACTCTTAATAGTCTCATGACCATAAAAGCTGTTAAATACCTGCTACTTGGATTTGAGAAAGCACAGCTGGAAAAAGAAATCGATTCACAAACTTTTCTGGTCCTAACTTCACTTTTGCCTACACTTTCAGGCTTCTAGCGACTCTGCTTTTGCAACTGTGTTATCATCAGGCTTGCAGCCCCATCGTGATTTGTTTGATCCGTCAATTTAGGAGGTTTAATAAGGGAAACAGCTGCTGTTTTGGTTTTGTGGTTTGTTTGGTTTTTTTTTTTTCTTAAGTGGTGCTGTCACTGTCACTCAGTAGGTGTTACATGCACTTGGTTTGGGGTTTTTTTGCCTCCTGTTAAACAGTTATGTTGAGCAGCATGGTGACTATTGCTCTTTCCAGAGCTGAGCAAAGTGCGTTGACCATATGCCATATACCAGTATATATGAAGAGCTTTGTCTGATAGCCACTCGAGAGGTTTTCAGGGACTGATTTAACTGAGCCTATTCCGATGTTTGAATTAAATGGGGTTTGGGACTTTTCAAAGAACTAGAGTAATGCTTCTGGCCAAGCCCTTGGAATTTAAACCCAAGTTGGAGAGCTGAATATGTAAAAACAGTTTTTCCCCTATGTGCAGGATATATTTTTAAATTGAGCCTGGAGGTGCAAGAATATTTTATTAGTTTCACAGATAGCAGCATAAGAGTTACTTGCATCAGCGAACAAATCATTCCTATTTAAGAATATAAACTGGGAACTGCAGTAGACTCTGTTCTGCAATTGGTGAAAGACAAAGTCCAGATCTGGATTCCCGAGAATACCGTCTTCATTAAATCATTGCGTTTTAGACAGCATTTTGTGGAAACGAGTCTTTGACACTGTGCTGACAAGTGTCTTATGTAAACTCCCATCTGTCACCGAGCACAGGAGAGTGCGCCTCAAATGTGGGACACGCAGCAGCAGCAAATCAACTGCCTGCTTTTAATAGTGCAGCAAGACGTTTAAAGACATTTGGTATTTTTATTACTAGCTTTTGTCACAAAATGCAGTTTTAAAAAAAAAAAAACCCAAATGCTGTAATGGTTTAAAAAAAGCCGAAGCTATTGAAACACTCTCTTCCTAGATATCCAACCCTTATTTCCTGAATGAACGCCCAGGCTGTAATAGGTGAATCAGGTCCGTGGTATGGGTCTGAGGTTCCAGGATCGTTTAGAAAAACCCTTTTAAGATGTTTCTGGTTTCTGAAATGGAAACCCATTTAGGCCATGTATTTATTATTCTGTAACAGCTCTTCTTAATCCATTGTCCCCAGGGTAAGTACAAGTGGCTATAGCAGCTGAGGTTACTCGCAGGTTTTGGATCACAGTTAAGTTCTGACAAATGGTCTCCTGTATTGTAAATGGTTGGTTTCCATAATTTACGATTGAAACAGGTGCTGAAACCCACTGATACTGGCAGGGGGTGCTGGAGGGAAATGATAATATTTCATTTAGTCTAGAAGTTTAAACATAATCATTTGTCACAGTGAATTTATTCCTTCCTAAGCAGCACCTGACAGGTGCAGAAGAGTTAAAGAAACCTTCATAACCACTGGCTGCAAGGATAGAGCACTTGCTGTTTCTTTTTCTTCCCAATCCTCCAAAGCTTTCAAACTTCTATAATGATGGAAATCCCTTTCCTGTTCTCCACTAATTGCATGGTGAGCTGCGTTTAGGGGTGCTGGGGAGGGGAATGAACTATTCCTATGAAGTGAATGTCTGTGCCGGTGTGAGGGAAGCAGCTGGAGCACTTGGCTAGGATGGGGAGGAATAGGAGTCCAGCTTTGGCAGTAGCCTGTGCTTGTATCAGTGCATTTGGATCATAAAGCTGCACTTTGAGACACTTACCTCTTGGCTGGCAGGTTTTGCTCTTGCAACTCTCCAGTGCATGGTAGCCACTATCACTTACACCTGTGCTTTCTCGGGTAGAAACTCCTCCTCTAGCTATGTTCCAGAGAAACTAATTAGATGGTTGCCTTATTTGGAAGATCTTTCAACTATTCAGGTTTTTTTTTTTCCCCCCTTCTTATTTTCTTTTGTTAAGAAAAACAGGTTGTAATCTTTTTAGCTTCATGGAATATTTATGTCAGTCAAAGGCATGAGCCTTTGGGCATAAACAAGCCTAGTAAACTGTATGATAGGGAACATGGTTGCTGAGATGGGTCATTGCCACAGATCTTGTTGAATAGTCGAAGTAAAGGTTAAGCAGCTGGAACATGTTAATTTTTTTAAAATTAATATGTACCTTCCAGTATGGAAAGGAGGAGCAAATCTGACAGTTGTGAGCACATTTACTGAAGTTAGCTTTTTGATTACAAAGAGGAAAAGGAGAAAGTATCAGAATGATTTTATATTTTGCAGTTTATCAATAAATGTTAGCAGTTTGCAAGAAAGCAAGTAATTTATACTTCACAGATACTGTATTTGAAATGATTACTGCAACTGTATGTTACAGAAAAGAAGAAACCCTGGACGGCAAAATACACATAAGCAAGGCCTTTATGTTACCTGTTCTTTCCATTTTTCTTTTTTTTTCCATTGGTAAAGGGTGATTGCCTGCAAGTGTCAGACTGACTGCTGACCGCAGCAACAGGACCAACACAAGTTTCCATAAAGACATTGTTTCCCAATTGGGTATCCTGTGGTGATACTGGAAGTCATGCCGAAATGTCCCTACATTGTCCCATGATATATTTGCTTCTGTGGTGTAGGTGATTTGTGATTTTTTGTAGAGTCTTCCTGTAAATTACGTATTTTATTTTTATAGTTCAATGGTAGTATTTCTTCTTTGATATGAAAGCAAGTGTGTTACTTACATCAGTAAGACAATAAATAACCCATCTGCTCTCTTTCCAAAACCTCTGTGGTGGCTGACTCACCTGTACTATCTCTGTAACCAGGTTTGGTAGATACTGGCACTCTGTTAAATGTGCAAGTTAAGCACTCTTCTGGTGCTTCCATTTCTTCCACTGAAATGTTGGCAGTTTTGGAACTACTTCCAGGAAAAAATTTTTTTACAATATATGCTTATTTTTAAGTTTTCTGGGAAGCTCAAAAGCTAAATTGAGACTGATTGTTCCGTTCCATTAAAGGAAGAGCTTGAGTGCTTAAAAGTGAGAAAAAGATTTTTGATAAATAAATACATCTGTCAGACCTCTGACCTGTTGCTTTAGTCTCATATATTAAACAAGTAGTTAGTAGAGGATTTAACTAACCCATTTTGAATACATTAGTGAGTACTTAGAAAACAGATCAAATTAAACGTTGTTAAAGATTTCCTGGAAAACCCTCTGTAAAAGTGGAATGGAGTACTGAGAATTTGTTTGTACTGATGATTCTAGAACATTTCAATACAGAAGTAAACCAAAAAGTAGCATTTTGAATATGCAGTTGTTCATGTGTATAAGATCATTTCTGTAAAGCCACAGCCTTTTAAACCTTTCACTTGCATTCGTCTGTGTGCAAGCTTGCCTATTCTTTGGTCTGCTGTAACTTTTAATGATTTTTCATATTCTTGTTAGTATGAAAGCTTTTTTTTGCCTCTTTGCAGACAATCTTTTCCATATTTGCCTGATCTGATCTTGTTCATAAATAGCAGTTTTTACCTTTGAAAGATCTGTTTCTTTTCCTTACAGGATTTTATTACTCAGATTTCAGAATCTATAACCATTTATACAGACTACTTAGTTTCAATATATATGCAAGTCTGTTGCTATTGAGTTTAAGGGATTTTTCACAGTTTATTTCTCCTCACGACTAACTTTCTGGGAATTTCTCCTTCTACAAAAATGTGCTGCCTTGAATTCAACAAATAACAGTAATTTTGGTATGAATGGGATCCTTACCAAGTTGGTAACGTTTTCAGTGTTGTAGCTTAACAGACCTGCTAAGTGGTTGGGTTTTTTCTATGCATAGCCCAATTTTAGGAATATTAAAATTTCTATGTATAGTTTTTCCTCTGGCATGCTATCTGAAGTACTTTCATACTCAAAATTTAAGATTTTTTTTTTTTCCCATCATTTAAGGTCCACTTTTCAATTAAGAGAAATATTTTCAAATAGTATTTCAAGTTACTTTTACAGTATTACTATTCAAGTCTTAAAACATTCAGTAGAATACCCAAACAACATAATTCAACAGATGTCAAAAACTAAGCTTCAGTTTTACTTGAGAGTAATGCCACCATTCATTTATTGACTCGTTTTCTTTTCATTGGCAGAATCTAAAGAAGATTCAAGAAATGGACAAAGAGGCAAGTGATGAATCCAGCACAGATCTTGATGACTTAAAAAATGCTGACTGGGTAAGACAACAATTGAATAGTGATTCAGCATCATTACTAGTAGTTTATATTTCTTTATAATATTTACCTAAAATTGTTTGGTTTATGTTAAAATCAGTGTCTGTGTTTTTTTAACATATGAATTAATAGTAACTCATGACAAGTTAGAACCAAATGGAGTCTCAACCTTCCTTTGCAGACAGATGAAACAATATACAAGTATCCAAGCATTACATTTTTTCTTTAGACTGTTTTCATGGAGAAGCTTTTGCAATTTAAAAAGACTGGACATTTTGACAGATATCATGCTGACTGCCCTTCAAAGGGGCAGCCAGGCAGTAGGCAGAGCCACCAGCTAAGCTTCTCCAATGGTGAAAGAAAAATGTTACAGAGAAAACCTTAACAGAAAGTAGCTTGTTTTATTTTCTAGTTATTATTCTTGCTAGTTCATAGAGGAGTATTATGAGGTTCTTAAAAGTACTTGATTTCAATCTCCCAATCTTCCTCCTCTCCAGCCATTCTCGCTGCCCAAAAAATGAGAGGGAGGTGTTAGTGTGTGGTGCTCCTGCAGGCAGAGCAAAAGGAAGTTGAGTACTGAGAGGATATTGCTAGACCTTAGGATTTGAAGTCCATTCCAAAATTTCTATTTGAAGAATGACTGCTGGGAAATGTTGCAAGAAAATTCTGGGCCTAAGGGAAACAAAGTTTCAGATTCAATCACTGTTTTAATTCACAGAGTATTAGCTGTAAGTCTAGAAACTTTCCTGACATGCTTGCAGTATACTTGAAATGGAAATACAGATGTATGGTATGAGAATTTAAAATCTTTTTTCTGTATTATCTTAGAGATGAACATCACTTGAGGTGAGGCTCTGCAGTCCTGCTGAGTTGCAACAAAGCTTTGTTATGTTCATGAGGGTTAAAAATAGGCTTATATAAAATAACCACAGATAAAATGGGTTTTGGTTGATGTGTTAAAAATAAAATAGTACAGCTGTACGTATTTGGTGGTGTCGTGAAAGGGGAATGAACAACTTCAGTTTAATCTGAGGTGGTATTCAGGATAAGGTATCAAATAAAATTTTTCTCTCTTTTCTCTTCAGGCTCGTTTTTGGGTACAAGTAATGCGAGATTTACGGAATGGAGTTAAACTTAAGAAAGTTCAAGAGCGTCAGTACAACCCGCTCCCAATAGAATATCAGCTCACACCCTATGAAATGCTGATGGATGATATTAGATCCAAACGCTATACCTTAAGGAAGGTCATGGTAAGTCAAGAGAATCACTAGAATTTGTCAAATCCGAAATGTTCTATTCCTTTTTTATCACCATCTTTTTTCTGAGAACCTTGAAATTATGATTTCATGTAGATAGTAATGTTCATGGTTTTTATATGGCGTCTTAAATTTACGTAGTACATTGAGGGGAAAAACATGAAACCAACAAATGTTGTGTATTTTGTTTTCCATATGGCAGGCATTTAAAATTCTGAAAGACATACCTGCATATCATATGCTTGAACAAATGACTTGTGTTGGTTTTATGATAACCTTAAGAGTCATATCAAAAGTTCTGTCACGCTTTCCACTGACAGATTGTTTTAGGCTTTTCTTGTTGGGGAGAACATTTATCTTGAGTTACAACATAATTTTTGGAATTCCAGACTGTAAAGTGCTACCATTTTCTTACTTGAGTGATACTGTGACGGGAAAGGAAAACCTACAGTGGTTAAAAACTTTGTATTACCTACTACCTATATTACAGTGTTTGAAAACTTATGTTACCATGATCTGTTATGAATTTTCAAGGAATACTCGATGTAAAAATTTTTAAATCTTCCATTTGTAGAAGTTGAGCTTGTTTCCAGCATATCCTATTGCTGCTTTCAAGTAAAGACGATATGCCAAAGCAAGCTGGAGGGTGTTGATGGGTCTCCTCCTACATACTCATAAAGGTGCATAGAAGATTGACTTGAGGCCCTCTTTTTATCAGAACCCATTTGATATTTACTGTTGTCTCCCAGTTCTTTCTTTCCTTTTGGTTTATATTTTGGTCAACATGAAGATGTTCCTGATAAGCTAGCAACTGATCTAAAGGACTTCTTATCCCTAGTAGGACATTTTAAACCCCTTTGTCAGAGGCCTGTATTTGGTCAATGTCAATGTTTATACCTTGCACTTACTTATCTTTGCCTGTTATTAGTTACAGTGGAAGCATCATCTTAGAATATTCAGTGTTCAAATGTATTTGCTTTCCTGACAAAACCTCACAAAACCTTTGTTAGTAAGAAAGCCGTGATTCCACCAGAAAAATTCAGAGATAGAGGTGGAGGGGAGACGAGAGAGAGAGAAAGCGTGTAGTTTGTTCCATCAGAGATCATTAGAAAAAAGAATAAAGGAGGAAAAAATTGGAACTACATGGGGAGCAAATAAATGAATTCTGTTACAAATATAAATGCCTTTTATGTATGAGCTGAAAGTACTTTCCTAATCAAGATCTGGATTTAGACTATCAGATTGTATTTATTTTCTGCAGCAGATGTCGCTTAAATGTTAAATCAATAGGGTAGAATACCTACCCAGGTAATGATGTTATCTGTCTTTCCGCTAACAATTCAGAGACCTGTGCTAAGTGTTCATACTACCCACTGCAAAAGAGGAATGGTCCCCTCAGGACCTTGATTTCTGTATGCAATCAGGATAGTAGTTTTGTTTGAATGGGAACCCCTGGGTCATCTGATTTTGCTTTTGTCAGACTAGCCTTTAATTCGTCTTCTGCTGAGCAAGCTCCTGCCTCTTCAGAAGAGATTTTCTTCATTATATGGTAGATCTTTGAGGCACAGCTGCTCCTCTGCTCATCCAGACTCTGGCTGTGTACGAAATCCCTGCAACCATCGATTTTTGTCCTGCTATCTTGTCTACTAGGTAGATTGTCCAAAGTGACCTCTGGGCATAAACGTGAATTGGGATTACAATCAGCTGCAGGTACAGTACCTGTGGTACAGTCTGTGATGCAATTGCTGGCTTAGTCTGACAACTGCTAATGACATTGTGTTAGAAAAATAACTTCTTTCTTATTAGAAACCTTAAATTTAGTAATTTGGATTCTGCTGCAGGGTCTGCTTGAAGAATGTGCAAAGCATGCACAATGATAAGAGTGCAGCTTGACTTGAAATGTGTGAAGCCTGAAGGATTCACATAGAATTACAAGTTTAGTTAGATCACATAAATACAGCATCTTCTAGCTGACCGTTGTGGGTCAAAGCTGATTATATATATTCCCATAAGAGAAAACTGTCGTGGTTCTTGAGAAGAGGAGGAAAGGACAAGAATCCTAAATCTGAACTTTAAGGCAGCTTGGGAAAGATAGATAGTGTTTCTTTCTATCAGTCAGAACGGATGTTTGGCAAAATTTTTATTAAAAGCAATTTTTGCTTTAAATTTATAGGTAGTATTTTTAGACTTGGTAGCTTGTGAAAATGCGTATGCTATTAAAGATTACAAGAGGTTAAGTAAATTTTTTAAGTAAATGAGATGCAACATGAAGTCTTTACTGTTCTTTTTATGAATATAATGCTGTGTTTAAAGGAGTAGCTTGATCTGCCCCTGACTGCTCAGTACTCTGAGTAGAAACTAGGAAAGGAACAGATGTTCCTATTAGGTGCATTACTTAGGAGCTATTTTGGTATTTCAGACCATCACGTGTTGAGTTAACAGATGCCAATAACTGGAGCTGTCTGTTCTCACCCGTCTTCTGTCATAGTGCAAATATTCAAAATGTTTTGAAGATGTAACATGTCAAATTCTGGGCTTTTTGTAAATAGCTGGTTTCAGTAGTTTCAGTGACATTGGCATTTCTATTCAATAAAAATAGTTTCAAATTTGTGATCTCTCTATCCCTCCGATGTAATCTTTGCATGTCTACCTGGAGAGATTTAATAGCCTTTTTCTCCTATGGAGCACTCACTCCCAAAAAGTTAAAAATTGTGAACACTGGTAGAGTCAACACTTGGAAACGGGGAAGTTTAAGAATTAAGTTACTCTTACAGGCTTATTTTTTCTTTATTATGCATATGTGTTAAGCTACAGCTTTTAATTCCACATTGGTTCACAATTAGCTCTCTTTCCTGCGTACCTCCCCCCTTCCAAGATGTGCACCTTTCACTGTATTTCCTGAGCAGTGCTTATTGATAACTCTTATGTTACTTATTCAATGCATGGCTGTCAGGTACCTTTTATGTAGTATCCTAACGCAGCATTACATTGCATAACAGTTAAATTCTTCATAGATAGCAGTGCTTTTGTCTTCATATTCAAGCTCTTCATAAATACCTGTGATGCAGTGGTATAAGCTTGGCCATGTTGCAAGAGGGGAATTTAGCCATATTAGGTTGAAGCTATTCTTATCAAAAATATCCAGTAATTTGAATGTCTAATCTGAGAATCCTGTGGCATGGCTGTTTGGGTATTTTTTTTTTTTTTAATTAATTATTTATTTACGGTATTTAGCATCTTACAGTACTTAACATTAAATGCAATAACAGCTGTGCATGGACAATATTTTCATAAGCGAGATTTCAGATGTTTCAAGCTGGACATAGAGAATGTGAAGAAAAGACCTTGACCGGTTTGTCCAGCTGAGCATTGTAGAATCTGTCGTTCTCTTATGCGCAGGACTGATGTTGTTTTACTGAGTGGTATTCAGCTGCTTTAAGCAGGGAACTAGCCTTTTTTCATTTTCTGCCTTCGTCACATGTTTCTGCAGAAGTTTAGGAGTCATCCTAGGTAGAGCAGTGAGCTTTACAGTTCCTAATCATGCTTTGGGGGTATTCAGAGAAGGAGTGACTCTGTATAGGTACTATGCTTATCATGTGGTATCATAAATTTGTATCTGTAATAGATGTGCAGGAAGAGCTGTGCGAATACAGTGGCTTATGATGTGAAGTACCAAAGCACTTCATTCTTGGGCACTGTGCTTGAGCTTCCTGAGAGGTCTCAAATACACACTGTGTAACAACTATGTTAACAAAAGCACTATACTGTCTGCACAATGAAAGATGGCAAATATATATCTACTTATAATACTTTAATTCACAACAGAACTTTATCATGAGCTGTTCTGGAAGTGATGTAGCCTGCCCCCTCTAGCTAGTACAAAACAGTATCACTTTCATGTTACCTATTATTTAGAGATAGCAGTCTCCTACTTACTGCTGTCACCTTTTATAGTGAGACAAATACATGGCTGAGATAATTGAATGTCAGTAATAAGTGATACGGTTTTTGTGAAAGTCATGTGCAATGTACTTCTTGTTTGGGATCACCATTTTTAAAGATTAGGCTTCAGCCAAAGGTTACTAAGTACCATTTGCAGTTGTTTCTTTAACTGCAAATCCATATTTATATATTAAAATGTGATGGTAGCAGGTTGTGAGTGAGTAGATGATTACATGGTAATTTTTCTGTGCTTTAGCTGTTTAGATCTCTAAATTTCTGGTTGATTTTTATAATCATTGGTTATGCTTTTCCCACACTGCCAGTTTTAATGCATACTGCTGTACAAAAGCCATTTTACACACATGAAGATTTAGGATAGTTTTACAGTGTTTTGAGGTATTTATTTAAATACTAGTTTGCAGTCGGCGCCAATCTGGTATGTGAAAAAAAAAGGATAATTTTGTTGCTTGTTTTTTTTTCCCATGCATGTATCATGGCTGCATCTGTGCAATATATCTCTGATTTAGAATTTAATCAAGAGCTGTGAATTTTAATTAATTAAAAGGAAAAGATGCATGTGAAATTGCAGAGAGTTAGTTTGAGTAAAGAAATAGATCTGGTGTGGACAGAAAGGATAAAAGCTTCCCTTCGGTGTCTTTCCTGTCAGCATCTTGTTTGGGCACTGATTACCAGAAGGTAGGTTCTGCTACTGGTGCTCCTGCTCTTGGCTTGTTGGCTGCAAAATGTCCACTTGCTTTGCCACCAGCTCCCCCTGTATCCTGTGGAAAATCACTTAAGCAAATCTTACATTTCTCCTTCCAATCAAATGGGAATACTGATACTAATTATACCCTGGTGGCATTAAGTCAGGGCGTAGAGTGCCCTGAGGTGAAAGGCTCAGAGCCATGTATTATTTATTCCTATTGTCATGCAGAGGGTTGTTCCCCAAGGCTGGAACAGAGATTATCAGTTTACAAAATGGCTGTTCTGATGGTAATAATTCTCAACTTCAGCTATCAACTTTGACATCTGATGAACAGTAACCCCGGGAAGAGAGACTTCTCATTTCATTAATAATCCTGCAAAGCCTGCTGGCCTCAAAAAATTGCTCAGTCTTTAAACAGAAGAAATCAATCACACCACTTAAAATAATATTCTCCTCGTCATAAAATGTCAAATCACCGTTTAATATAAACCTTTTCAATTTTAATTTTTCTGCACTGTTTTTAGGAAGGTGATGCATGTTGCAGAGTTCAGCAGCTTGGTATTCTCTGCCAAGCTATTTGAAATTCACTCTAAGGAAGCTAAAGGGGTAGGTGGGGGGAACAATAGAATTTGGACCATGTCTGGGGTAGCATACCTCCAGAAAGAGTCCACAGGAGGGACTCTGCATCCGATTCCTTATCAGGGAAGGGATGAATCTTCTCTGGGAGGCTGTCGCTCTGCCTCAGCCTGGAAAAACGGCATGTCTGAGGTGAGCAGAGCTTACACGGAAGCTGCATGGTGTTACTGAAGTTCAATTAGGGACCTTATGGGCATTTAAACCCATTTTTCTGACTGCAGCATTCCTTCTGGTTAGCAAAAGTGCATGTAATTTGACAAACCAGAGCTGTGTCTTTCCATATATTTTCTGGCTACAGAGCTTGTATGAATAGTGTCTCCCAAAGAAAAATGAGCCAACTGACCCTTAAAAAAGAAAAAGAAAAAAAGAAAAAAAAAGTGCTGAAATTTGGGACACCTGGTCTAAGAAATACAGTGTCATGGGAATTTCTGTCAAATTGGAGGACATGGCTGACAGCCAGCTACTGTGTAGCAATAGAAGGTACCAGAAGGATGTATGGCATAGGATGCTCTCTCATCCCTGGCAGTGTGCGTGGGCACTGTGCTGTATGAAGACTGAACCTGACAGGTGGATTTTTTAAGCAAATCCATACACTTACTCCCAGCTTACAATTTATAAATTCTTCATATGATAGGAAAACTTCTGTTGCCTTCTTTTATATCCTGTACATATAGTGAATTGCTGACTCTTTGCTGTGATGTCTTGTCTATGGTCTTATGTCTAAATGAGGTATGAGAGAAAGAAATGTCTCTCTCTCTGGAGAAAACCAACCAAACAAGCAAACAACCCTCACCCAGCCCCTTTTCTACAGACATACATGATTTACAGTGAGGAAACCACTTCCTATACTTCCAATGGCATGCCATGGCATTCTAGTGATTTACTTTCTAGACATATTAACAAACTTCATTTTGCACTTGAGTAATCTTTAAAGTGCAGGTGAAGAGGTAGGTATGAAATGATGCTCAGGGCTTCCCTCTCCTTCTACTGGGATTTACACACAAGGGCACCTCTTTATGGCCAGAGCAGCGGAGATAGGTGGTAAAGACAAAAAACCAAGGGGAACATATTTTTCATCCATTGCTACAAGCAAATCATTGGTGATTGTGCCAGATCTAGCTTTTCTTTCACTTCAGTGCTTGGGAGATGGTAAGGAGATCAAGAAAACTGAGGCCTTAAAGAACATCCCTGTTTTCTCAGAGGCTAAGAGGAGAGTATTAGAGACTGTGTAATGGTTGGCAGTGAGACATGGTTCAAACAATTGTTCTTAAAAATGGTGTTGGCAGCTTTTCCTCCAAGCAAGATACAATCTTCGTCTGCATTCTCCCATAGACACAATTGCAGCCTTGACATTTGATTTCATCATTTCAAAATCCTAAGTATTGCTGATTAAAGCTGCTGCTGCAGTTGTGGTTATTCCGCAGCTGAAAAGCCATTACCGGCATTTTTGCTTGCCTGTGCTCTGCATATGGATTGTTGCTCTGCTCAGGACAGGTGGGTTTTACGTCTGGTGCAGGTGTCAGAACACTGCAAGCTCTGTCAAGGGTTGTTGTGAGTTTTCAGTTGATCTCATCATCTGCATGAATACGAATGCAAAACATGGAAATACGTATTTCATTTTCTCCTTTCCAGGTCAACGGTGACATTCCACCTCGATTAAAAAAGAGTGCCCATGAAATAATCCTGGATTTCATCCGATCGCGACCTCCATTAAATCCTGTATGTAATCCAGTGGGCTTCATTCCTAAGAAAAATGTGGCTTTTTAAAGCATGTTTGTGTCCAGGGAATATGTTAAATATTACGTTTTCTGACGTGGGCTTTCAAAAATATTGTCTTCTGTATAGAGAATGTGGTCTCTTAAAGAACAGTGTGTAATATCTTGCACCTACCAATTAATAACTGTTATTACCAGCAGCCCTTTATCCCTCTGGGAAATCATAATGAACTGGAGAAAAATACAATCCTCTTTCCAATTTATGTGAGTTTTACAACTCAGTGCATGTAAAATCATATCACAACATTCCACATTTTTTCCAAAAAAGTGTGAAATCTACTTTCAAGGAAGCACTGTTTTATGTAAATATGATTATCGTTATATCCCGAGGCCTCGGCAAGAAAACTGAAACCAACCCCACCACGGCCACGCAGCCTTCATGAAAGGATACTGGAGGAAATCAAGGCAGAGAGGAAGTTACGTCCAGTCTCACCTGATGAGATAAGGCGTAGCAGGCTGGGTAAGCACATTGCTAGTTTTTACCTGCAGCATCCACAGAAAACTTTCCGCATAAGAAGCAGCAGTATTAGCGATGTCTGTGCAGATGTCACGGAAGATAAAATTACTCTCATCCCTTCAGAAAAAGAAGGTACCTACAGGCTTTGCTAGGGCTATGCAGTCTATTTAAAAATATTTTAAAATAAGATACTGAATGGTTCAGCTTGATTCCCTTCAAGTTTTTAATGTAAGTATTAGATAAATTTAATGGCATTATATTGCTTGTTGCACATGACAGTTAATGTTAGATTTGCTCAGAATGGAATGGGTATTGCTTCTCCCTTGTGCAATATTCCTTACATATCTGCAAGTATTCTTTACATGTCTGTTTTTAGTTAATTTTATTCTCTTTGTTTCCTGTCGTTAGCATCATCAATTTCCTTATTTTAATTTAAAATCTGCTTTTATTTTGTTTGCTGAATCTATTGCTTCTATTTTGAATCTAAATATTTGCTTCATTTTCTAAGTTATGAACATGTGTTTGTATATATTTTCAGTGGGCAAATAATTCAGACTTGCACTGCAAATAATTTCATTTCTGCAGTGTATTCAACAATCCACTATGAAATTATACTAATACTATGCTTTCCAACGATCAGCAATTTGCATTAGTTCAATAGTTCTAATGACAAAAGCATGCCAAATGCAGTCTTACATTGTGACTTACATTTCTTTAAGAGCACGGTATTTATCTGTATCAGAAAAACTGAGCTAGCTGCATTTTTGAAGAGCAAAAGTGGCATCTTATGGCTAAAAAGCATGAAATAATCCACATATGTACTCCCTGTTGCTGCTTTTTGCAAAATATTTGTGCTTGCCACAGGTGCTTAAAGGCACTGGTCCAGATTCAAGTGGGTTATGACAACCCATTGTCTCCAGAGAAAAACAATTTCATCAGTCTTGCTTTGTTGCATTGTTTTTGAAGTGCTCGGTAGAGTTTGATGAATGCTTGGGTGCATTTTTAAAAGCATGATGTTTTGAATATTGTTTCTTTGGGCCTTGCAGTCTCTGGTTTGGATTCAGTTTACGCTTGCTCTATCAATTAATGTTTGTAACAGGCCTAGACATTTTTCCAAATGTAGGAAGCTTGTAAAAACTTGAAATGATTGCTTACTTTTCTTTCAAACATTCCATTTCAGTATTTTAGATGCTCACCATCTGGGAACTATCATGTTCTCTCAGGAGCAGGAAATTTGATCTAATAGATCTTTAAAATTTCTAACTGATATAAATTACATCAAACCCATTTAGTAAACAGTTTCTAAATACAATGTTAAATTTTGGAGTATTACTGGTTAGGACTTCCTGGGCTGATTTCAGGGCATGGCCTCCAATGAGGGATACCTGTCTTCCACCAATTCTTCATTTTTTGTTAAAGAATTACATTTTTGAGTTTTGGAACTGTGGTAATTCCTCTTCAGTCCAGTGAACTGTTTGGATAAATGCTGTATTACTGGAGGTGCAAAAGAAGATGCATGCAAGTTTTATTTCCCAAGTGTTTATTTGCTGCTGTCATGAAGAAGAAAAAAGAGCAAAGGCCTTGAAGATAATTTTTTCTTATGTTGAAATATGAGGTTTTGTTCTTTCTCACACTGAAATGATTGTTATGTCCAAAGTTCCTTTTAGAATAAAATGTGTTTGTGCAGAATTGGCAATGGAGTAATGCTAGTGATGTTCAGTATGGTACAAATAGATCTGCCATATAGTTTAGATGACCACTGAAGGTAATTCAGTGTTACAACATGTAAGGTAATAAGGTTTAAGGATTATAAATCTAAGTAGAAACACCATGTGGGACATTTGCACCATCTGGACAGAAATATTTGTTGCTATTAAAAAGAAAAGAAAAGGAGTGTTAGAATGAAATATTTGGGAGTGTAAGGTACATTGCACATGTCCCAGAGTTACTCCTTGTTGCTCAGTTTATAGCAGTCAAGAGCACAACTACGCTTGACTATTGGGGTGCGGGGGATGTACTCTTGCAGTTTCTCCTCTGTGACATGGGTGGACCTATGGCATGTGTTTCCCAGCAGCCACAGGCTTTGTCCCTCTCTCTGCACAACACATGCGTACAGGTAAGATCTTCTCTGCCCTGAGCTGCCACTGAGAAAAGCCAGCCTGTGACTGGCCACTCTCAATCTAAAACTTCTTTGGAAATGGTAATTTAATCTTGGTAGCTGTTCTCACAAAGGGAGAGGTTTGAGTAGAGGAATTGGAGTGAGCTTTCAAATGACCTCATAAAATCATCAGAGTAAGCTTTTGAGACAAACACAGCCTTGAGGTACATGTCCTTTTAATTAAAAGCATGGATTTGTGACTCAAGCAAGTTGAGCTAATGGAGCTTGGAGAAAACTTTGCTTCATGTACATGTTTTATCAACCTTCAGTTAGGACTCAGCATTAGGTGATAAACGCCCTTATGCTTTAAAATGTATTTGCCTTTATGCTAAGTTTGAACAGGGATTTAGAGAACTGTTTCTGTAGCTGTTATCTGTGGCTGATGTTGTCTAGTTAATGAACTACAGGAAAAATACCCTGACTCCTAAATTTGGCTTTGAGTCAGCCACCTACTGCGCTCACCACTAGGTTTATTATCACGAGCAAAACTTGTCCCAGAACAACCTTTTTTTAAACATCTTTTAATGCAGTGGTATGTGTGGCTGACAGGCCCTTTCATACCAACTTGCATGTTTATCAGTTGCCAAGTAAGACAGATAAGCTGATGTCAGTTTTGATGCGTTCTTGTACGTTGTTGTCACTGGGCTTGGCCTGCTTATTTGGATTAGAGCATTGAAATTTTGTTTTCAGTTGAGAAATATTGTAAGTGTCTACTCCCTGAATTACACTGGTTATTTGGAAATATAGATAGTTCTTTCCAGAAATAAAGACCATCTGACCACTTTCTTATCTAGGAATAAAATGGTTAGAGGCCCAGAAAGAAGAGGGTAATATTATGGCAACATTTTAAAGGCTAAGTCCACCTAAGGTTTTTAAAAAGAACAAGAATCAGCACACATCACACTGTGTTCGGCCTTTTTTCCCATCCTTTTCAAGGAAACTACTGCTCAAGCTTAGCTTCAGTGTCTGTCTTTATTACTTTAATTATAATCATTGGAGATTATGCTTAAAAAAATTAGAAATATCTTTATTTCAGGTCACTGAAACTTGTGTGAAATGTGGCTTTGTACTTTCAATTTTTTTCAGCTCTTTCTCTCTCTTTCTCTCCTCTCTCTCTTTTCCCTCTTCCCTTTGTCTCTCATTTTAATTGAAAAGATTCAATTTTTAAGATACTTGCCTTTTGTTTTGATATTTGATTTATTGAATTCCAAAAATCTCATTCTACAACTATACAAATATATTTATAATTGCTCTGTTTGCAAGTCCCATTTATGCTACTGTAGTTTTCAGACTTTGAGCTTTACTACAGTAAAGCAATAGTATGTCTGACACATTTTGGATTTAGGCAACGGAATCCAAAATGCCTCAAGTGGAGTTAATCTTTTGTTTTCATTACCCCTCTGCTTTTCTAATAGCTGAATTGTTTTCTTTTTGTTGTTTTTGTTTCTTTTTTACAGCAATGCGGCCACTTAGCATGTCTTACAGTTTTGACTTGTCAGGTAAAAGGTGCAGCAACACCTGACGTGGTTATTGTGCTTATTGTGAAATTTGTTCCATTTGTTTGTTGAATTCCCATTTAAGAAAGAAACTTGAAGGGATTCTTCCAAGATACGGTCAGTGAAAATAAAAATTAAGATAAATTACTTACTAATACCTACATTTCCCTTGCCACCAAAGGATGCTTAGGTATAGGAAACAACTGTATTTCACCTGAAATAGAGTGCTGGAATTCTGTTTAAATAAATAACCAAAAAAGGTGCCCCAGAGCTATTCCAAACTCTAAAAAGGATTGCAGAATACAGTGTCACCTTCAAGTCTGATTTACTTATTTATTAATCTGACCTTTCTGTCTTTACACAGATGACCATCTTTTGCAGTACGTCATTTCTCACGAGGATCCAAAAACTAGTTTTGAACTCGTCTACCTTTCTAGATTTAACGAAATACACCTATGAATACTAATCTAGAAAGGAACTGTCAATTCTACTGAGTGTTTTTACAGTAAATGCTTTGTGAATCATGAAATCAAAGATGTGCACCCAAAAACCTTCCTTCTTTACTGGTTAGCAAAATAAGTTGCTAAGGTTTGCTGGTAGTAGCTGACACAGAAGATTCGATAGCTGATCATTCATCAACTATCTAATATAAATTTTAAAGGTTCCCCTTGATGGGCCATTGGTTAGCATGTGCAGTAACTGTATGAACATGTTCTACTTCAGAGACAGCAAAGTCAGAGAGAGTTTGTGCCTACTAGCCAGAAAATAAATTCATTCCTCCCTCATTGTGCACTAACTTTCCACGATGCACAGGCCCAAAGACTCTATCATTGAGGATGGAAATATTCTACATTAGCCTCAAGGGTTTGTCCACTGAGGACAGCTTTTATGCTGGCTCTTACCTAATTTCTCCTAGATGACTCCTGAGAAAACCAGTCTCCAAATAAATCCATGCTCTCATTTTATGAAGAAGCAACAGCAGGCGTACCCTCCCCGCTTCCTTCCAGTTGCATGTAGAAACATCTCATCTGGGACTTTTGCATAGTTTTCGACCTCTGTTTCTCCATACACCCTTTAATCTCATGTGGTTATTTTCCCCATAGAAAGGCATAATCTGACTGAAATGCTAGCGTATTGTGAACTAGAAAGACCATAGAGAAGTTATTTGATTACTATAATATAAAAAATACAATAGTTTTGTAATATGGGAGCGAAGTTCACAAATGACCTATCTATGAACATGGCTTCATGTTCTGGCTGAGCCAAGAAAACAACTTGCCACTGTCAAGAGGTGAGGAGGGGCTCTCGCTGCTCCCTCTCCTCCCCAAGCTCCCCTCCAAGCATATGATTCCCCCTCCTCCTCTGTGCCAGTCCTGCTCATTTATTCACAAGATGACCTGTTAAAATCATGTATCCCAGGAACAAATACTTTTGTTTTTTTACAAGGTTGGTTTTCTGCTCTTTTAGTGATTTAAACCTGCTTACTATCTGATCAGATGATTAGAGAGCTGGCTGAGGTCAGATGATGAGCATGGGTGGATGGGAGGAAGGAATAGGCTCTCCCCATCAGAGGCGGTGGCAAGCTGTTAATCCAGCTCAAGCCCTTTTGTGAAACCTTACACTCATGGCATATTGTACAGCTACTACAGCTGTCTGGGGGGATTCAAATTATATATGTACGTGGTATCATGTTTTACTCCACTGAAAGCTGAAGGGTCCTCAGGGGGTCAGATAGTAGCATAAACAGGCAAACTTCAATTTTCAAAAAGTATTGCTGCTTTCAGATATGCCAAAAGTTCCTTCAGTTTTAAGACTATAAAACTGAATGTGACAGTGACCAACAAAAGGGAAATGTTCAGATCTGTCCTTCTACATGTGTCTGTCTGCTTCTTCTTTTGCCTTTTATTTCTAAGAATCCTGAGACATCCTCATTTGTTTAAATCCAAACAATATTTTTTAAAACCTCCCTTCATAATCCATTAATTCATTACCGTAATGTTTTTATGTTAAAGAAGGAGCTTCATAGCAATCTATACTGTCCTTGGATTTGCCCTTTTTGACTGACCACCGAAGAACTCTTCCTGTTTTCTTTATCCATCTTCCAAATGTGATTGTTTTTGGTTTTTCAAGTCATGTGGTTCTCAGCAAGTAGTATCATATGGTGTGACTGAGTGATCTGATAAATTGTCTTTAGAAGTAAATTCAGGATGATTAAAACATTCCAATTAGGTAGATGTGAGACACCAGATGAGCAGTACAAATGAATTAGGTGGGTTGGGAAGTCGATAGTAAGCAGATAAGCGATAGTTTTTAATGTTGTTGCTTTGCGTGCTTTTACTTTTTTCATTATTTTGGAGGCGGGGAAGGTATACTGTGCTTTCATTCTGTGATCACTGTTTCCACATTCTTGCTTTTTCACTGCTTTCATTGCTCTCTGCTTGATGGAATTGCTGTCATGAAAAAAACACAAACCAGCTGAAAAACAGAAGTGTTTCCTATTGAGTGCTAAAGGACAGGTGCAGGCTTTTATTATGCTTGCTGTCTTTGACTGGGATGATGCAGACCAGTTCTGAGAAGACTTTTGCTGGCACCGAGCCGGTGTAGCTGGTATGTCACACTGCCCGGCTCCACGCATCTCCCTACTGTTGTCATCCTGAAGAGGAGAGGAGGGGCACCTGGGACCTCCTTGTACCCTGCTGCCATTTCCTATCAGTAGAATAGAAGGAGCAAGCGGTAGCCACCTGTAATGAGAGTAATCTGAGAAGTACTCAGATATCGATTAGGGACCAGGGCAGCCATTGCCCACTTCCTCTAATAGAAAAACAGCTTAAAAGCAGCTTCGCTTCTATGCACTGCGTTGAATGCAGCTCTAAAGACCAGTCATTCCCACTCTTAACACTCAAGTTCTTACCTCAAAGCTGTATGCATGGCTGCTTTGAAGTTGTTATTCAGAAACAGTTTGTAATTGGAGGTGGGGTGGGGCAGGAGATAAGAAATAAGAAAAACTGAAGCATTTAAACCCAAACTTCATGGGGATTGTTCCTGTTGTTCCCAACCCTGTAAGGTGATGTGTATCCTATGATCTTTGCCTCAGACCAGTGTGAGGAAGGAACGCCACCAGGTCCTGGTAATCTCTTCATTTAGATAACACGATAGTAAATGTGATGTAAACACCAGCAAAAGACTGGCAGTTTGGTATACTGATTTATTAGTTCTCAGGTTTGACTTCAACATCTAAGTCCATTGAAAGGAACAGCACAACTCTGTTACCATTATTCATTATATAATCTTTCTCAGTATATTATCATCATCATAACTAGCAAAAGGTAAACCTGTATTAATTCTGCAAATCCACTTTAGCCTTCTTTTAAACTCAGTCTAAAAATGATAGGATTGAGGAGTACATTTGCTGTATAGAACAAAATTCAGGTTTCTGTTGTCATTATTTGCCAAGGAGAGCTGGGTAGGAGGCAGACAGCGTATGGTTACATGACTGCTGTGGCTTGCATGTAATGTGTGGCCAGCTTAATTCCTTGTTTCGTAAGAGACGTAATCTTACATGTAAATAAAGGCACATTTCATATTATCCTAGGGTGGGTGGTTTTTTTGTCTCCCCCCTCTTAAGGCTAGTCAGCAAAGGCCAACACAAAGATCAAGTAATCAAATCAAGACCTTCTCTTCTTTCATTTGTCTGTTGTAATGATAGCTTAGAAGAAACTCAAAAGAAGCCAAACATATTCATCCAATTTGCAGGTACTGTTCATTGTACTTGCTGCCTGAAAGCACGGAGAAATGACACTCTCCCAGTGTGTCTGACTCTCTAATAAAATCTTGAGCCCAGCCTGTTACTCACACAAGCCTTTTTAAAATATCATTTGAATAATCTTCAAAACATTTAGATGTTCTATGAAACTAGAGATTGTGAAACTACTATCCATTAAAAAAAAAAAAATTAGGTTTTTGTTTCAAAGAATTCTCCATGAATTTCTTCTGTCATATTCATTTTTATAAGCATTAGTCTATTGGTTATTTCTGACTTGTTTATCCTGATTAATTTTATCTTGTTTATGATGTTGTATGATTATTTGCCACACGGTAGTGTTTCTGTTGCCTGAGTACATCACTAAAATAGCTTAAGCAAAGTAATAATTTTTTGGTCTGTATATGCCAACAAATTCTGGTTTTAATTTTGGAACAAGTTATTTTTGCTGAAATCTGTTCGCTGAAACTGTAAAATTTCATGATCCTTTCCTTAAATTATGATAATCCATTTATTCATGTATATCCGTTCTGTAAGTGCAGGAATGATAAACTGAACTTGAGCACTATCAACAAAACGGATTTTATAAATTGGATGGTTTTCTAATTTTACTTTTTTTGTTGTTTTTTATTCTTTAGTGCTTGCAAGTTGTAAAAACACTCCCTGTTTTTTTTCCTTTAGAGGAAAGAATGGCGATAAATGACATTTCCTATTGAAGAGCCCTTCAAAACAAATACTATATTGGATTGTCTTCTTGATTCACCTAAAACTTCTCTGGTATTTCAAGAAGACTTATAAACCAATATATGAACAACTCATACATGTGTGAATTTAAATAACAACTGGCTTAGGCTTTGTAGGTAGTGATTGGCTACATAAATGACCTCCAAAATGGATCAGAAATTTCCGTTTCTGGGGCCTAAAGAAATTGGGCCTAAATTCTTAGAAAACAAAACAAAAAAAACCCCAAACAAACAAAACCAACAGCAACAAAAACAAACAAAAAAACCCCATACACACACAAAAAAAACCCCCAAAAACCAGAAAACAATTTATGATGTACCCTGGATATCCATTCCATCACCTCCCATAGTGCTAGGGGATGTCTGGTGGATGCTCCCTCCTCTTTCCTTTCCCCAGAGCTATCGTGTGTTTTATTTTTTTGGAAGGAGGGCAATACTGTTGGCCTTCCTATCATTTATTCTCCCAGTGAGTCCAACGGTACTTACAGGCCATTCTTCACCATGCCTACCACCAGGCAGGGGAGTCACCACCCGGGAAGTTTTTGGGAGACGGGACACCACCTTTGGCTGTTGTGTTGGTAGTGCTGGGGCTGCTTCATTGGAAAGTCTGTTCAGGAACCGCCCTGTGCAATCAAAAGACAAATCAAAGGTTTTTCTCTTGCTCATTTGGGAAACCCTGAGCTTCTTCAATCAACTCAGCTAATTATGAGGTCTCAAGAAGTGGTACTGGCAGCAGGGAGGTGAGGCAGTTCAGTTTTTGTTTTCCTGCTGTCGCTTTCTGGGATTGCGGAATGCATTTGATGTGGAGGACGCCCATGCAGTACTCGCAGAAATCTAGGAGGGAAAAAAACCCATGACCTATAAGCCATAGTCCTAGTCAGGACACCCATTAGTAAAGCCTTTGAAGATAGGAACTAAGGGTTAGAGAGTCTAAGTCTTTGATTGCAACTCTTTGTAGGGAGGACCTGAAGGCAGTAATAACACTGTAGTACACAGATTCATAGGCTTGGAATGTCACCATGACTGTAATAGTCCAAATAATTGCCTTTTCTTGTACTCCCTGTTGAAGGTATGATTTATAGAGGAACTATAATACATCCCCTATCCTTTCTAGCTCCGTTTCCAGCATTTAACAATAACCTAATTAATTCTTTAAAATATATGTTGATTTAACTTACTCCCTTCTTACTTATTTTCAATAGCTGCTCCGGTGAGAATGTTGTAAAACAGACCTACTGCTGCAACTGAGGCTTTATCTAGACCGTGTAGTTTTAACTTACCTAGTGCAAGAACGGCTTTTATCAATGCAAATTGTGTTGTAGCAGCAGTGACCGTGTCTGTTTATACCAGGGCAACTATGTTAATAACTCCAAATGATGTGTGAGTACTTACATTGTTGGCACTGGGAATATCTGGGTGATATCATTTCTCTGTCATAGTCCTCCCGGTAACCTAGGTACGAGTCATTTGACCTTCTGTGCCTCTTTTCACCATGTATAAAAATGGGAATAATAACTCGTCATTACCTTAGCCTTAAAATACCTGGAGGTACTTTGTTATTACAAGACTGGGGAAGGAGTCCTGTAATTACATGGGTAGAAAAACACATTTGTAGAAAGACCAGATGCTTAGGCATACATGCAAATGGGAGATTAAAAGCTTCTCTTCCTTCTCCCTCCAACATAATTTTCTTCGGATTGGAATACTGCACTTTGTACTTCTACAGGGATAAAACTGATTTATCAGACCAAACTCTAAGCTATCCTAAAATATCAAAGCCTAGGTCATTATCTTAATGTCTAAGCTAAGCTAGGCTAAGCACAGCAGACCCAATGCTTACGTTATCCGAGATGCATCTTCATTGCACACTGGCAGAAATCCCAAGTAATTTACTCAGTGGAGTTACATCCTTGTAAAACTCATGCAGACGAAGATAGAGCTGGAGCCTGATGTTTCTGCTGTTACATGAAGATTTGACATCACAGACATGCTTTTAATACAAATGACCGTGCAAGCCTAAGAATTGTGCATATTTTTGATGAATGCTAGTTATTTAGCTCATTTTCATTCCTTTTCCGTATACTGAAGAATAAAGTGTAATTCTGTCCTCACAGGAAAAACTAGGTTTACTCCATGCTAAACCTCCCAATTTCTGTGTGGCGTTGTCTTCAGATTCACTGGAAACCCACTTGTCCAGATACAGTTGTGCATTCTTCTGATACTTGTTATATAGTTAATCATAGACTATGAATTGAAGGAAGAATATTTTCGGGGGTTTTTTTGAAGTTGATTGGTGTTGGTCTGAGGTTGGTTTTTAGTATTGTGCACTACTGCTTTTTCCACTGCTTTCATTCTTTCATATTGCTTTTGTACCACAAGCCATTGCCTGTAGTTCTCTGAGCAATGTATTGCTGAAGTAAAATAATTGCACACATATAACTATCACAATAATTTTTTTTCCTTTTGTGTGTGTTTTCTTGACAGTAAGGTTTGAGAAGGCAAAATAAAAATTAGGTCCAAACACCAATTGTTCTGTTTCTTTTGCTAGATGTATCTACGCCAGAGGCTGGAAGAAAATTAGCGGATGCCTCTGTAGTGAATGGTGGCCTGGCACCACAAGGAAAGCAGAATGGGGCCACACAAGTGACAGTACAACGCAAGAGACTCCTTAAGGCTCCCACGTTGGCTGAACTTGACAGCTCAGATTCAGAGGTAAAAAATCAGGACACAACTTTCTTCTCGATTTGTCAGAATTGAGTCTTATTCCTTAATTTGCTGAACTGATCAGCTGAGAATTGACTTTGCAGATGATCATCTGAATTTTCCATGACTGCTTTGTCAGCCCACAGAACTTCAAAAATATTAGATCAGACCTCAAAAATGAGAATATTCTTTTAAAAGGTTAAATGCTAATTTTGGCCTTAAACCCGGTATTTACTTTTTTTTCTAAATGCCCAGTGTCTGTCCACAGTGTATATGTAGCAATTATGCTTTTGGGAATGCAGGCAAATGTGTTGCATCCTTCTGGCACCCATGCAGGAGCTGTCACTAAAGGACTCAGATGTGAGGCCAGCCTCACCGTACCAGCTGTTAAATAAAGAGCATCGGCTGTGCCGGAGGGGTTGCAGTTTGGTGCAAATGTCATTGCGTTAGTTTGCTATATAGCAAACACCCAACACATGGGCAGTAACACCCAACAAATGTTTCACAGATGAGGACAAACAAATACCACTTAGATGGAGAAACAACTTTGAATCCATCCTCTCTCAAATGGAGAGTTAAAGATTTAAAAAAGCATAAAAAGGAGAAAAGCTTAAAAAAGCTCTCTAGCTTAAAAGCTGCATTATATATGATCCTCAAGAAGTACCAACATTACATCCTCAAGAATGAGCTTTGTCTTCTTGGACCAGTAGTATTATTAATTGAGTTTGGACCTTTCTGAAAGTTAAGCTGTCTGGAAAGCCCATGCAGGCAGGGTTTATTCACAGAGACTAATTTTGGCCTGGGGAAGGCAGTCTTCCCTGACTCTCTTTCTCTCCAGTAAATGAGGAAGGAGGGGTTTCCTGACAGGGCACCTACAAAGGTGTCTGAGCTGAAAGATAGGAGACTGGGGAGAAATATATGTGGGGAGAAATTTATCTCTTTGCATACTTTCTTGATCTGTGAAAGGTTGGCCCTCTTTGTATTAGGGTTATCCTATGGGTGACTTGTGTGGGTGCATAATTTGGTGCATCTATTCTGAAAGCAGAAGAGATTTGCATTCTGAAATCTCTCAGCAGTCTTTAAAATTACAATAGAGGCTATAGGAGGTTTTTAATATGAATGAAACTGGGCAGGATGCAGAAATATTAAGACCTGTCAATGAGAATTGGATCTTGAACTTACAGCTTCCCAGCTTGTAGCTCCATGCATCCTGAAGCTAATGCAGCATGATATTTCACACGGAAAAATGAGCAGAAGTCAGTAAAAAAATTTTGTAAAGGGAAATGTGAAGTGATTCTTGTAGGAGAGAAAAATAAGATGTCTGACTGTGACTATTGATTAGGGAATACTGTCTAGGCAAGCAAAGTTGTATAGAATAAGCTCTGGAACGTACGGCAAGAGATAAATTGAAAATAAATCAGCCACATCGAGCTGTCGCAGAGAGCAAATGCCGTACTGGTTTGAGTCAACAGAAGTAGCTGGTAAAGCAATTAAGACGATTAAGATGCTCAGCAGAATACTGGTTGGGGCTCAGGAACAGTGCTGAAGTAGTGTAAATAAACAATCTTGAAGGGAGTTTAGGTGAAATTTTCCAAGCTGACGAAGGCGGTGGAACATAGAACATTTGAGGAAAGTGAAGATCGCGCTGTCAAAATGCCTTATTTATTTCCTGACTTTTACTTTGTGTGTAACACACAGAAGAGCATATGTGTTGTCCTGATTGCCTATAAATGACTCGGCTACCTCTTTGCCTGCAATTTGAATTGGGCTTAACCTATTTAGAGTTACTCACTGGGAGTTAAATTATGACTATGTTATGCCCTAATTACAGGCTGCAAATATCTGCACTGCTGAGCTGTGGACCTCCAAATGAGCTATGATGCAGATGCATTTTCTTTCCCCTGCATCCCCTTTGTTCTTCTCTCAGCTGTGTTGTGATGCAGACTATGCCCCAAAACTCAGTGTTACCTGCCAGAGGTGAAAGGGAAGGTCTGATAGAGCCCTATGCCCATTTGCTGGCAAGGATGAATATTGTACAAACGGTTCCTGCTTTCTGTCCTTGCTTTTTTCTGCATCGCCTCTAGAATCACAGTTTCAGAGGGGGGAGCCGGAAGTGCCATTTTGCTTTGTGTGGCTAAAAGAAGTAGCAATCTAGTAGTGATTTTTGATACAGATGTAAAAATGGTATCTTCCTAATGAAGCTACAACTATCCAGACAAAAATCATGTCAGTAACATATTCAAAAGTTTTAAGGTGATGCCTTTAAAGCTGCAGCTTTCTCAGTACATGTAAAATTCTAATTGTTTAGCGCTCTGTGCAAAGTGCGCAATCCCAGATGTTGGGTTGATCCAACTTCAAATGTAAAATGTCAGATAGTCTACCATAACAGTCAACAGTTACTGTATTGATATGAAGAAATTCATACCATGGTTCATCAGTAGTTCCTACACAAGATTTTATTATCAAAAAAACCTTCAATGTTTGAGAAATCGTAGGACAGTAATAGCATTTTCAGTGCATGTGTTTATGCACAGAAAAAATAATATGAAATGACAAACCAGGAATACCTGTTATCTAAGTAGGATGATATGTCAAATTTAACATACTCCTGGCTTCCATTCTCCCTGGGTTGTTGTTTATACTTACTATTTTTTATACTTAGCCATTGGCTCTGACAGTTCATTCCCTCTCATTCTTTAGAATAAGAAGTGTGGCTCCTGGAATTTTTCTTATAGGTCTTTACTATGGAGGAGCCCCTTACTCTCTATTTTTGTCCGTTTCTTTCACTGTTTTTTTCAAGACTCCGAGGCCACTGAAATAGCCAGTGTTCATCCATTACTAATGAAGTAACTAGAAATCTTTCACAAAAATGAGAGCAAGATGGAGACATCTGTGTGCTACATGTGACTGAGACATCATGTCCATCTCGAGTTCAGAAGTGGAATGAAGAATGGTCAATAGCTATTTCTTTCCACTGAAAGGTGGCAATTAGCAAAATTAGATGGACATGTGAAACATTTCTGTAATCCCTATTTTACAGTTTTACGTTAAAATATATATAGGCTTTTGATATTTTCAGGTGTGCACTTTGTTTTGTCTCTCTTCTGTCTGTGCCAGTGTTTCAGACACAGGAAAAATGGAAGAAAAGGGAGAACAAAAAACGCCAGAAAAGCATGTAAATAAACTCAGTGCGTAGACTGTTGCTTGAATCAGCATAAGATGCCGACAATCGAAGCACTTACAATTTTTAGTCAGGACTAGGTAGGGACCCACAGAACAAGAGACTTCTCTAGAGCAAGGATTGCTTGGATTGTGCTCCAGAGACAGCTGTTCCCCACCTGCTCCTCAAAAAGCCCTCTCTGAAGCCCTGGCTGCTCTTCATTCATAAAAATGAGCAGCACAGCACCATGGTTATGTTTTTTTAATTGACAGCTTAGTTCTTCATCTTAGCTTGTTAGCTTCTCTGGCAATGGGAAAGTAATCTTCTGCTCAGAAGAATTTGACTTCTACAAAGTGAAAAGTTTAGTAGTTCCCTTTGTACAGGGGTTATTCTACTTCACAAAATTTAAATGTTTAACTCTAGACTGGTGAACACTGTTGCACCTCTTCTAAAGAACAGTGCATCCAGTTGTCTTGCAAGTTCTCCAGTGGTCTTTTAAGGCAACCATGCAGCATGAAGCAATGATATGCAAAGCTATCTGAGCTAGCTCTGTAGCTAAATTGTACTGGTTTCTGGAAATAAATCAAACTTCCCTATAAGCTTCCTATCACAACTGTTTGTGGCATCACACTTGATATGTTAAAATGAATATATTGTTTTGGGATCTGAGCTGGTTTGAGTCCCTTTGCAGAATACTATGTGGCATATACGTGGGAACAGTATACATCACAGTGTCCTCACATAAAACGCATACCCTTGGGCTAAGCATAAAGTACAGATCACCTGATGGGAATTTGTAGAGGCCTCTGTCCCGTGATGCATGGTGCTCATTGAGGTGATCCTGCCAGCTTTTCTTCTCTGACTTGCTGTTACCAAAGAAGGCAATCTTTCAGCCAATGGAGGTTTTTCTGTTTGTGATTCACGTAACTAAGGAAATCGGTGAGAGAAAAGCTCAGCCACTTGCTGGATTTTAGAGCAGGTCACTTGGTTGATCTGTAAATCTTGACAACTTAAATGATGTAAGTCTCCTTGGTTAAAAGCATTCACATTAGAGCTAAAGAGCATTCACGCTCAGTCCTCCAACTCTGTTCCTTTGGGAGGCTCCTGTGATGATCTGTATCTTGCTGGTATCTGGTGGCGGAAGACAGAGGTTTTAGGTGAAAGCAAAGGATTTAATAATGCTTTAGATAGCTGAAAGGTGTTAGTCAAAGCCCGTTTCACTTTCATTCATCTTGCAGGAATTGCTCTTGGCTGTGGTGATGAAACATGCTTATAGAATGAATGAAATTTCTTTTAAATACAGAAGAAAGGAGAAGCGCACCAGGATCAGGGGTTAGAGAACAGTGCAGTGGAGATCAGATTAATTTCTCTTTACCTGAGTCACTTGTATGAGTGGCTCTCATTCCTTTGGAGACCAGAGAAATCTAAGTGCTGATTCCTTGCTACTGTGAGACATAAAGTTGAGTTAACGTATCTGCTGTAGCTGCAAACCCGTAGAAGTCCTTGAATACAATTGAGGAAAATTAACAGGTTACAATGGATTCATGCACCTTTCTTCTGATCTTGTTCTTTCATGCAATAGTTAAATACACTGAATTCCAACCATGTACCATTTATTCCAGTTTCTAAAAAAACTGAGCACTGAAAATTCCATTTACTCAGTGCTGTGTAGGGTCAATGTTTTTCTCAGGACTTCTTCTAGGGCTTTGAGTGATTGAATGGTGCAAAATACCTTTGATAGCTTGTGATTTCTGTGTGCTAAGAAGCAGTAAGAGAAGAAAAAACAATCCCTGAGGAATTCTGTTTCTTTTCGTCTTGCCACACAGGAGGAGTCAGTGCACAAATCAGCAAGTAGCAGCAGCATCTCCCCCTCACAAGTGGAAGACCCCTCTCAAGAAGGCACCAGCAGCAGAAAGAGTGAGTTTTGATGAGAGAGCCCAGTGGCTGCTTTTACCCACTTCTGTGGTCTTCTGTTCTATGAACTTTGTCTGAAACTTTTATAGAAAGCTGAAGCTGAGTGTTGTTAATGCAATAAATCTCTAAAGCTGAGCCCTAGAACCTGCTGAATAGGTCAAATGTGATTAATGATTGGAGGGCATTAGCCTACAGTATATGTGGATATCTGTGAAACAGAAGGTGGTTTCATACTTGAATTTGATGTGGAACTGTAGAGGAAGTCAGAAGTGAATGGGGGGTAGTTTAGCTATGCTCATCTTATAAAAGGATTTGTTGCTGCAGAAACACGTTCTAACCTAAGACCAATTTAAATGTTTCCTGCATCTCTGTCACCGTGGCAGTGAATGTACTTGTTTGAAAGACACATAGCAATCACCAGTATTTCTCATAAGTACTTACTGGGAAGAGGGGAGGATCTGTTCTTTTTTTTCAGGCACGGTTAATTGTAGGCTTTACTGTGTAATAATATTTTTCATTTGTTTCAAAGTGTTTCAGTTTCACTGGAAAGGCTTTGTAATGAAACAAGTAAGCTGTGCATGTATTTTCTGTGCACGATGGTTAAATAAGTAGAATAAGCCAATACCCTGAAACTCTGAATTTATATACAATGGTAACTGGACAGTAGCATGCCTGGGGTGTACACTAGTTTTATGAGTATTCCTACTCTCTCAATCTGGAAAATGGATGAATGTGATACCTGTCTTGAAGGTGCTCTGAGTACGGATATGTAACTTCAGCCACCAGTAGTGGGAATTCTAGCAAATCAGTGGCTAGTTTAAGTACTTAGCAATGTTATCCAACAGTCTGTCTTAGAAGAACTAATTTTTTTATGCTGATTGAATCTTTAGTGCCTCCAAAGTTCTTGCCCATATCATCTACACCACAGCCTGAGAGACGGCAGCCACCTCAGAGACGACACTCCATTGAAAAGGAAACACCAACCAACGTGAGACAGTTCCTACCACCTTCAAAACAGAGCTCCAGATCACTTGTAAGTGGAGTGGGTGGTAGGAGAGAGAAAAAGAGGCATGCTAAGAGTATAATGAAAATTAAAACTTGGCTTCAGTGTGATTAGAACTTGACTCAAAGAAAACTCCTCAATTCAGAAACAGCCCTTGGCTACTAAAGACGTTTTGAAATCAAGATTTGAACTTTGTCTCTCTAGCATATTTATCCAAAATCCCAGGTACAGGTGCCTCAGAAAACATTTGCACTTTGATTAGGACTCTGAGTAAAGCCACGTGCCTTCATTTTATTTCAGAATGTTACCAAAACAGACGAACTTCACCTTACTGATTTTCCATCTGAATAGAGACAATTCCAAAGCAGTGGATCTATTTTGGGATTTGGGGGAATTTTTTAGTTGATGGAAGTATTTTAGTTAATGGCTGAATGATTGGAATGGTTTCTTTTCTTCCCACCTTAAGAACTTGTGTGGTAATGTTTATACATGTGAAAGCTCTTTCAGTAATCCAAATCAAGGTTTGTCTATATTGCTTTGTTGAAGTTACTGAGGCAAAAACCTGTATTACTGCTTGAAAAGAAAGTACAGTACATTTGATCAATTAGCTTTAATTGAGAGCTGTTTTCCAACAGGGTATAAACAGCAAAGGGTATGAAATCCTGGTTCTTTTATGCTGACATACTGATTAGTGCTTTGTAATTTCATGCAGGATATGTTCCTCGTCTCTTTTCCTACCAGCAGGGTTTCGAAGTATGCCCCATGAGGTGCTAGTGAATAGAGAAATCGATAAACACATCCTAGTTTTGACAGGAAGGGAATATTCGCTCGCCCCGACTTGTAGTGCAGTGGTATTAATGGGCTTTGAAGAGTGTTTTTGTTGGCCAAGAGATGGTGGCCAGGATCCAAACCTATTAGATGATGAAGTTGAGTGGTAACAAGAAAATAATCTCCAAATATTCCCACAACATGCTTCGTCCCCTTCTTTTCAGAGGGTCTGCTGCATTTTTATTGTATCCTTCCAAGAAGAATGTAGTTTCTCATTCCAGGTGAAGGTCAGGTAGTAGTGTGTTGATAAACACACAATACAAGTAGACTTCTTCTGCCAAAGTGAACTTGGAGCAGAACATAATGCACCAGAACAAAGCTGGAGGGTTATTTCAGCATGCATTTGAAGACACTGTCATATAAAATGGACTGCCCTGTCATTGCCTGCTGCGCTCACTATGTGTGGAAGCACAAGCTTTGTTTTCTGATAAGCCCAGAGTCATTAACAGACATACTGTTTAAAGGGAAGAGGGGAGAAAGCATTGTATGTTATACTGATGCATTTGCTCCATTGAATTTTTAGTATATCTAAATATGTTACATCGTAATACTGATCTCATATCATGCATTTGAGGGGATCATGCAACTTAAAAATCTTATATATGAAGCCGTTATTTTAAATAGGTCAACAAAGTTCTTAACAGGACCTTTTAACCACATAAGTATTTTCCTTCTGTCAGTCTGTTCACTGACATATGCCTAGAAAGATATATACAAAATAAAACCATTGCAGAAAAACTAATTCAGTTATTCCACTCCCCCTTAAAAATACTAAAGGAAAAGGGAGAAAAAAACATTAGATAAATCAGGCTAATGTGGGAACACATGGGAAAGGTTTTACTAGTTTCTTTTGTGCTTGGGGTTTTTTGTTTGTTTGTTTTGTTTTGTTTTGTTTTTCGTAGTCTTCAGAGCACTGTCACCTAGCTTGGTTTTAGCTATGAAGTGAGAAAGAAGGAAAATCAGTAGTGAAATGATGTTCTGTTAATAAGAACCTATTTTATTTGATGCCTAGAGAGCTAATTCTTTAACTTGGCAATAGTGCCCTCTAGGGTGTGACAAACAACTCCCACAGTACTTTTGTTTTTAGTTTTGGTAGATGGTTTCTGATATGCTGGCACTGGCCCAGTTCCACGCTTTGGCTTACTGCAAGTCTTTCCTTCCCTGGAGAGAGGCCAGCTTCTTTCAGTGGCTGCGCCAGATGCTGCATATGTAACGTTGCCGTTCCTGGAGTGAACGCTTCTCAATAAGTGTAGAATATTATTTCCTTTTTATTTGACTTCACACTTCTTCATCCCTTCCTCCAGGATTGATGAAGTTTCATTTCTTATCACCTACTCCTGTGACCCCAGTTTCTCTTCAAGGTGAAAGAGACCTCGTCAATAAATCGCCCTCAATGCCAGTGAACACAGGCAGGGGTTTGCTACAGTCTCTTAGCAGGATTAGCAAGAAACTGGTCTGTCTTGCATACTAACGACGTTTTTGTGAACTGGCAACTCATCAGAGTTAGACATAAGTAGGTGGGGAGGGGAAGCAAACTTGGAAAAATGCCAAGCATAGTCCTTTTGATATGTCACCCTACCAGTGCTACATGGAAAGGCAGGGCAGCTCAGCGATTTTGGGGGGGTCAGCCCTGGTGGTGTGCTTGCTGTAGTGAGCTGACCTAGTGCCCAATCAGTGAGGTGAAGCCAGTGTCCTGAGATGTACATACGGATGCCTTTGTAGTCTGTTTGCTTTTTTTTTAATTATTATTATTATTATTA